GAATGTAGAACCCGAAAACTAATTAAATTACTAGTGAATAGGAAAAAGCCCAATATATTTTTCCTCCTTCTTTTATTCTAAATATCACAAATCAATCACACCACCACCTCAGTGTGATTTTTTTGAAGGCATGTACTTTTTCTTATGGTCATCTATTTTTAGTATCTATCCATCTATTTGCTTTCCTAACAATCTTAACTATTGTCGCCAACAAATGCAAGGAGCATATAAGATGCGTACAGTTATTAACACTTTAATCCCTGAGAGTGACTAGCATCTAATTTCTCCTCTCAATATCACCCCTAAATCAAGCAATAATGTCATGAGAATAAAGAAAATGATAATCACTGAAGAACCTCTTGACTGTTAAACAAATTCTCCTTGCCAGCACACTAGGAAATGTATAGAGAACAGTACGGAGAATATGCATACTGGTGTTAGGGTGTAAAGGGTTAAAGACGTCATGTAATCAGTTTTAAATATGTAGAGTATTGCTTGAATATATGATTGCAGCGAGTATAAGTGCACCTTGGAGGGTGCCTTGTGAACATAAAAATTGAAGTTCAGTGCCTTTACCAGCTTTTTCGGCTACAAAGATCAACAAAGAACAACAGCCACACCAAAAAATATTTTTCATGAAAGACACCTTTACAATGGTAGGTACACACAACTGACACGTTTGGGTGAAGCAGGTCAAGCATTAAGGTATGATTGTCAGTTTGCTTTTCATTACTTGCACACAGCTTATTTCTATCAGCTTTGAAAACTTCTAGCTGTGTCTTAGCTTTCCAAGAAAAGCATTTCCCATGAACATTTAAACATTAAAGACATAAGCTACTAGTGACAGGTTTTTCCATTCCAAATTAAATCCCCCATTTTAACCCCATTAGTCTCACTAGTGACCTAGACAGAATTTCTCCTTACACTATCAGTACAATATCAAGAATACAAGAAATGAGAATAAAGAAAAACACCAATTAGGGGATTATTGGTTGATCCAATTCCAAATTCTCCAACCCAATATCACATAACTTGTATGGCAGAAAGTAAGGGGAATTAATGAAATCTTGAGAGTTAAAGGGTTATGTAATCATATGTACCAGAAAGACAGTGAATAAATGTACCATACTCCACTAAAGTGTTCTTAGGTACAGTGAAGTTTCAAACTCATTAAAATTAAGTTGACTTCAAGATTCAGATGTTATTTTAAGAAATGTGTAATATCTTTTCACATGGATGAATAGAGAATGCCATTTATAAATTTTAAAATAGCAAATGCAAAAAACTTAAAGATGGAATTGAAAAAAAAACTACTAAAATATGGCATATCTACCCACTGAGATTTTAATCATTGGCTGGCACACACAAATATAAAAGAAGCTTTGTGAATAAAAACCTGGGCAATAAAATCAAAGATTCGGGAGAAGCATATGACATCAACAAGTTTACTGATGTTCTCACCTGAATTCAGTCAGGAAAGAGAACTCTGCAACACTTCTGTTTTATCTTCTCACTCGAATTCAAACATGAAATTTAATTATTTGCGGGAAGGTTAAGGAGGTAATTAAAGGAATGGATATATGTTACATGATAAGAAACCCCTTACAATTAAAATAAAGCAGAAGGATATTACCTAGGTGTCTTTGCTTCTGAATACTGCTATAATAGGTATTTTTAAGCAACTATCTACATATGTAAACCGGGTGCAATATACGGTCGTAAAAGCAATTTTATTCTAACTTTCCTCCTTGAAGGGTGCCTTGTGTATCAAACATATCAAGTTCAGTACCTCCAGAGTCATAAGCCGGGCTTTTGGGGCTACAAAATAATCAAGTAATCAACCCGATAGGGCAGGTCAATTTATCGAGAATCAATTAAGTATAGTTTCCTAAAATCGTGTAGAAAGTTTAAAATATGCTTCACTTGTGCATAGTTAGTAGAGGAGACTGGTTATGAAAGTCGGCGAGCTTCAAAGACCGATGTCTTTGTTTTGATTTTTGCCTTGTCACGTGATCGCGACAGTGCACATTTATCAAACGATCATGGCGTCCGTCGTGTAGTTTCTTGTTAGTTTTGCGATATGTGTTAGGTTTCTCCGTAATTTTTATCAGTATATGGTTGTCGTTTTGCAAGAAATATAAAAGTTATGCCAGGGGCTAATTGCTCAGTATTTGGCTGTGGTTCGTGCAGAAGAACGAAGGGAATTGGTATTTGGAAGTTGCCTGTGGCAAAAGACGAAGCTCATGGAACATGGCGAGACGAATGGCTTGGTGAGATAAAAAAGACAAGAGAAATGGATCAGAACTTCAGGGAACAGTTGAAGAGCGATAGAATATATACCTGTGAGAAAAATTTTGTGCCCGAAGATATCGAAATATGTAAGTACATATCTGTATTTTCTTGTTAAATTTTCGGATTTGCTTCGAGTTAGTTTTCACCGATCAGTGTTGCTGCTGTTTGAAGTTCGTTCTGAAAGTGGATATGGTTTTAGGTTTGACTA